CCTAAACCCGAAACCCCAAAACCAGGTTACAACAAGCTTTTACTGGGCCAAAACCTAGTTCGGTCTTTGACCCTCGGAAACTGCTTCGCGACTACAGTGACCGACCACATAGTAACTGGGCTCGGTCTGATTTGAGCTTGAATAATTGGAATAGGCTTCCGGGAGCTTCTATAATGCCATAATTACAAACACGGACACCGAAGGAATAGTAGTGCTACTCACTCAAGCCTTCTAAGCCTTCTGTACTAAGTTTAGACTACGAGAATTTGGGGGAGTTGGGCTTGGACGGAGCAAGGGCTTGTGGGGCTCCTAGGCATCGGGGTTTCGGGTTCACGGGAGGAAAACAGAGCTCCAAAAATCGGTTCATACGACCCTGAACCCGTGCTTTCTGCTAACCCAAACCCTAAAAACCTTTAAACCCCTAAACCCTAGGACCCTAAGCACTATAGAGCCCTTCATGAAACTCTGAACCCCACCTTCTACAGCCCTCAAACCCTAAACCCCAGAAGCCCTAAACCCTAAACCCAAAAAGCCGTAAGCCTTAAACCCGAAACTCACACTTCCTACAACCCTAAACCCTAAACTCCCGCTTCATACAACCCTAGACCCTAGACTCTAAACCCCCAAAAGCCCCTAAACCCTAAACCCTAAACCCTAAACCCTAAACCCTAAAACCCTAAATCCCCACTTCCTACAACCCGCTTCCTCAGGCACTCGGCGCGCCCCACATGGGGCCCAAAACTCGGTGTCCCTCCGTGGGCGCCTTGATTGGCCTCGTTTAGGGTTTATAGGGTTTAGGTTTAGGGTTTAGGGTTTAGGGTTTAGGATTTAGGGTTTAGGGTTTAGGGTTTAGGGTTTATTGTTTAGGGTTTAGGGTGTAATATAGGGGCCTTAATGATTAGGATAAGACTTGGGGGGCCCGTTATGCTGTAATTATTGATAATCAGGAACCCCCCCCAAAACAGTACTGGTAATCTTCTAGGCCCTACATTGGTTCGCTTTTGGCTTTGATGGCTTTGGCTTCAAGAGTTTGGGGTTTAGGGTTTAGGTCTAAACCCCAAAACCCTAAACCCCGGCTTTGGGGTTTAGGGCTTACCAATAGGCCCCATAGTAGTTCCTTTTTGGGATTACCTTAAAAGGGTTCTAAATATGAACCCCAAAAAGGAACTACTATGGGGCCTATGGGTTTAGGGCTATGAACTTTAAGGGCCTGAAAAGCCAAGGCGTGTGGGTTAGGTTTAGGCTCTGAAGGCTGAGGTCTGGCATGGTTTAGGGTTTAGGGTTTAGGGTTTAGGGTTTAGGGTTTAGGGTTTAGGGTTTAGGGTTTAGGGTTTGAGAATTTTCATCCGGTTTTATGGGATTTTGAGGGGGGCTTTGCAAAGGTTCCGAGGGGTTCCAGTAAGCTGTCTGTAGAGCTTTCTACCAGAGTCCTGTGAGGGTTTAGGGCTTAGGGTTTAGGGTTTAGGGTTTAGGGTCAGGATCTAGCAATTCGCGTTCAGGGTCCGGGGTTGCGACACATGCTGTCATCACAGCTCGTACTGAAACACACGTTTTCATTGTTCATACCACCGTCATCATCATTACGACTGGTATTGTAAGCAGTAGTGCTGGATCTTCAGGAATCTTTGACAGTAGGAGCACAGTTGCCTATGTGTTGGGGCAAAACATTTGTCTAAGAAACTGCTATAACACAATAATGTAGGGGCCTTTAAAAATTACGGTTTTGGGCCCATTATATACTATTTTTATAATAAGCAACCCCCAAAACAGTATAGGTACTCACCCGAAGTCTTGAATTGCCGAAGGGGCAGGGTCTCACCGCGCGCGATGCGATCTCTCAGGATCAGCGTTCCATAACCTGCTACTTTCGGGTTTAGGGTTTAGGGTTTAGGAGGGCTTTTGGTTGCCTACGATATGGGCTCAAGGGTAGCCTTCAGCACCCTAAAAAAAGTAGGTACCAGGGAGGGTTAGGGTACAATAAGTACTCTATAGATGTTAAGACACTGAGCCCGAAGCTGTGCGACTACGCATAGTTCAGCCATCTGCACAATTGTCAGAGATTTCATCGTGAGGAGAGGTTTGTTGACTGTTGCAGGATTCAACAAATGCGGTCGTTCCCGCGTACGGCGCAGTCAGGGTTAGAGAAATATGAATAGGTAGATGGCGGGTAGGTACGTAGATAATTAACGACAGATAAACCGAAGCAAGCCTAGAGAGACAGGCGCAGAAACGCAAACAAGATTAACCACCTCTGTATGCGTATGATAGAAATACATATATATATATATATATATGTACGTATGTATGTACATGTAGAGAGACAGTAAACATGTAGACAGACAGATAGATAGACAGATAGATGGATAGATAGATGGATAGATAGATGGATAGATGAGACAGAGAGAAAGAGAGAGAGAGAGAGAGAGAGAGACAAAAAGAGAGCGAGAGGTGAGAGGCGATGGATGGCTGTCAGCGGACAGCACAGTCACACCTCCGGAAGCCTCAACTCGCACCCTTCTACAGGGGTGGTGAGGGCCGGAAACGGGGGTTTTGGGGATTTCTAGTAAGTACCTATAGTCTCCATTGTAGCTCCTTTTTTTAGTTTAACAAATTTTATTGTTAGGATCCTATAAGGTAACCCCAAAAAAGGAACTACAACGGAGACTCTAGGTAGGGAGGGCTTCAGACCTTTAGTCTCAGGGTCTGGGTTGAGATCGGGGGAAGGTCAGCCCTGCAAGAGCCCCGAAACCCTGACACCCTAAGGTGCTCTAAAGCTCAAACTCTAAGTTGAAAAGCCCCAGGCCCTGTAAATGCCAAACCTCCTGGACACTCTAAGTGAAATCTCAAACCTGAACTCGTACTACCGACATAGAGGGGCCTGAACAATCAGAAAAGGGCGTTTGGGTATACTATGCTATATATAATCTGAATAATCTAACCCTAAACCCTAAACCCTAAACCCTAAAGAATATTGGTAATTGTTCAGGCTTCTCCATACACCACAATTTCTAGACCGAAAACTTATGATCTCATGGGTTAGCTCAGAAGTAAGCTCTACACACCCCCAAAAGCAGCATCTCTAAACTAAGCCAATAACTTAGCCCAAAAACATCCAAAACCACTTTTACACTAAGTGTAGAACTGTACCCACGCATTGGCTGAACTGCGATCCCAGTATCAGGCTGAAATGGTGGGAACAGGCACCTCAGAGCTGCAACAACGGATTTGGGCCCCGATGTTCGTGGCATGTAGGTGTGTGTTCGTATGTGTATATATGTATAGGTGTATAGATACATCGACTTAAACCTATGTATGCATGCATGTATGCATCAGTGGATGTATGTGTATATATATATATATATAGAGAGAGAGAGAGCTTGCTTTTTGTGACTACTGCTATTGTTCTTGTTGCCATTAGTGTCGGCCGTACTCGTGGCTCTATTGTTATTAAGTTACAAGTGCTCATGCTGTCCTTATTGTCCGTACTGGTACTAACTGTTGATGATTCCATTGTTGTTGTTGTTGTTGTTGTTGTTGTTCATTCTGAAAACATTAACACTATGTCTGCTGTTGTGCTTTTTGTTGCCAGTATCGTTGTTGTTCGTGGTATTGTTATTGTTCGCTTTCTTCCTTGTAGCAGTATTCTGATGTGTGGCTTTACTATTATCGTTCTTATTCCTGCTATGACTTTAATGAAGATGTTATGAAAATGAAGAACAATATGATGATGATTGATAGCTAGTACACACACATGTACGTATGTATACACGTACATACGTAGCCACCTGGAGGCTGCAATAACAAGCGGGCATTTGAAGAGTTCGAGGTGTGGTTTGGGATGCCTTAAGAGGCTTCAGGGCTTCTGTCGATAACATCTCTTGGGGTTTACATGCGTTCACAGCGAGGAATGCTTCATGGCCAGGAATGCTTCAAGGATTTCCTCGCTCAGCGTGAATCCATGAGCCCTCATTAGAGCCACAAGCAAAAGCCCTAAACCCTGAACCCTAAACCCTAAACCCTAAACCCTAAACCTGAAGCCCAAAACTCGGAATCCCTAAACCCCCCAAATTCTAAATCCCTAAACCCTAAACTCTTAACCGTAGAAGCCCTAAACCCTAAACCCTAAACCCTAAACCCTAAACTCGGTTCCCCAGTAGACCCTTAGAAATAAGGCTGCCCTTTTTCCCACTATTTGGTGTTAGTCATAAGGAAACCCTGAAAGAAAAAATAGCAAAAGGACCCTACTGGGAAAACCCTAGAACCCTAAAACCCTAAAACCCTAAAACCCTAAACCCTAAAACCCTAAAGCCAGACCCCTAAAACCCCAAACCCTAAACCCTAAACCCTAAACTCTAAACCCTAAAACCCTAAACCCTAAAACCTGGTAAACTCTACATCCCGAACCTTCGACCCTCCACCGGAGAGGGGAGCCAGGATTAGGGGGACCCTTGGGGATATAGACCCTCTCAATAAGGTCCCTTGTAACAGAGCCAAAAGTAGGGTTCAGAAGGGAACCCTAAACCCTAAACCCAAAACCCTAAACCCCAAAACCCCTAAAACCCTAAACCCTAAACCCTAAACCCTTTAAGGGGTACCCTAATAATACTGCCTAGGAGAGCCGGCCGGCCTTCTGCTCTTTTCCCATCCGCACCACCGAGCCCAGGAGGTTGTCCACTTCGGAAGGCTTGCCTTTTAGGCGTGTCGGGTTTAGGGTGTAGGGTTTGGG